TACAAACAGGAGGCATGATTTAAAAAAACAACAACTCTGATATGTAACACTTGTTCCATCTTTGCAGCCGAAAGAATCAAGTTCAAGACCATTAAATAAGAAAGGGGGGGCGGAAGGAAGCCCAAAGCAGTTATTGGATAGAAAGGAGAAACTGGATGTTTAAGAAAGACAGAAGATTGAAAATTTCTCTCAGTATAAAACTGACTAGTAATATGCTGCAAGAGGTGAAAGAAAGGACTCTTCCGCCCAGCTGCGCCTCCAGAGAGACCTGCCTAGATGCCGGATCCGACCCCACTCTCAGCGAGGCGGGGGGGCAGCAGCAGCCGGGGAAAGGCTTCCTGCCTCCAACTGCCCAGACCCCCTGCTTCATCCTAGGGAGATGTGGGTTCGCCTGCGCCCCCACCGCACCCCCTCTCCATACCGATCTGGCGGGACGCGTCCAGCCTCTGCGCCTGCCCCCTGCACTGGATGGCCTCCAGGACGCGGACCGTCACCTTCAGGGCATGATCCTTCCCGTAGTATTGGAGCAGGAGATCGGCCACGTCCGAGACCTGGGCTCCCTCCAGCCGCCCTCGGGGGATAGGGCGGCCGCCCTTCGGGATCCGGGAGTCGAGGAGCTTCCTCTTGAACCGCCGGAGCTCGTCCTTCGACAAGTCCCGCAGGGCTGCCCGCAGGCCCTCCCCGCCGCCGGCCGGCTCCGCCATCTGGCCCCGCTTCCAGTGCCTCACCCAGGGGGGAAAAAACCGGGACGGTGCCAAGGCGGGCGGGGAGAGGGTGCAAGAGGCCCGGCACCTCGGAAGAATGCTGAGGGAGGAGGAAAGTGTGTGGCCGCCTTCCTTTCGGTTTCCTCTTCAGCTCTCTCTCTCAAAGACACACACACACACACACACACACGCACACACGACGACGCCACTTCCACTTGCTCGTGGCAGAAGGGCGGGAAAGTGTTTCTAAGGCTTTCTCTCCCTCTCTCTCTCCAGAAACCGCTGTGTGTGTGTGTGTGTGTGTGTGTGTGTGTGTGTTTTCTCGGTGGGAGAGCACAACTACGTGTGTGTTCCAGCGCCCCTCGCTGGAACCGAGAGAGAGAGAGAGAGAGAAAGCCTCGCCCGGGGAAGAAAAAGCCGGGACGGTGCCAAGGCGGGCGGGGAGACGGTGGAAGGGCCCCCGGCACCTCCGAGGGGTGCTGAGGGAGGAGGAAAGTGTGTGGCCGCCTTCCTTTCGGTTTCCTCTTCAGCTCTCTCTCTCAAACACACACACACACGCACGCACACACGACGACGCCACTTCCACTTGCTCGTGGCAGAAGGGCGGGAAAGTTTTTCTAAGGCTTTCTCTCTCTCCAGAAACCGCTGAGGGAGTGTGCGGGTTCGCGTCTGGCCCGGAGGGGACGGGCGTGACAGCGGTTGCGTCTGTTGTCCTTTGTGGCTCTCCCAAAGTGGGAGTGAGGTGTGTGTGGAGGAGAAGTGAGGCTCGAGGCTTTTGCTTGCACCGGAGCCTTCTCGGTGAACCTTTTTAGTGGGAGAGCACAGTTACGAGCTCTCTCTCCCCCACCCCCGCTCCGTCCTCGTTGTGGCGGGGCAGGAAAGGATGATGCCTGACAATATTGCCTTGATGCCTCAAGGCAATAACAGGCCAGGACTCCGCAGGCCTTTGGACGGGCGCTGCCACACTGTGTCCTTCCACTCGGTTTTAGCGGGTCGGATTCGTTTTGAGGCATTCTGATTTTTGTTGTTGCTGCAAATTCGAACAGATTCCACCCCCCCAGCATTTGCATCCCCACCTGGAAAGGGTCCATGTGGCAGGATAGACTGGGAGGCACTGAATCCTCCTCCTACTGTCTGTCCAAAGACATCTGGAGTGGCTCCCTGAGATCCCACAAGCGGCACGGGTTACCCTCCTCTTTTGCCTGTTTTCTCTCTTCTCTTCCTGCCCAGATCTGTCCCTCCTCACCTCCCTCCTTGTTTCGCCCAGCTATGGGTGTGGAAAGATCATGATGGACCAGCAGAGACACCTCCATGGAAAAACATCATCAGGTGATCCACAAGGTGTGTGGATCCCTGTTCTTGAACCATGTGGTACAAATGAGAGCAAAGAAGGGCAAATATAATCATCACCACCACCATACCAGTGGCGGCATAAAACCCCCAAGAAACAAGGGGGGTCCCCCCCGCTCCCCTTCTGTTGACACTATTTAGACATGTCGCAAGGTCCTAAACTGCTTAGATCTTCATATGTTAGAACTAAGACCTTAAACCTGACACAGAAGCGAACCGATAACCAACACCTGTGGATCAGAATTAGAGTGAAAGGACTGAATTTCCTCTTCCCAGCAATTTGGCTGCTGCGTTCTGGACCCCTTCAAGCGTCTTTATCAGCCTCAAGGGGAGCCCCACGTAGAGTGCATTACAGTAGTCAGTTCTGAGAATAGCAGTGCATGAACCAGTGTTGTTAGAGACTTGATGTCCCGATGGGGATGCAGCTGAGCCTTTTCTCCCCCAAAGTTTGGATAAAGGTGGAACAGGAGTGAACAGAGTGTTTAGATGTTGTTGTACTGCAACCCCCATGAGCTTTAGCTAGCAAAGGCAATGGAAGAGGGGAGTATTAAATGTAACAATCCAGAAATTATCTGGAGGTTCCCACTTGGCACAACTGCAGCAGAGGAACAGACTGGATAGTGGCCCTAGGCTGAATGATGAGCAATCACATAGCTCAGATTGGCTATTCCACCATATGGAGACTATTCTCCCGACAGCTTGTTTTAGATCAGCCTCCATTTTATTTTTCTCCTTCCTCGACTTATGCCGTACAAGTTGGACTTATTAGAATCACGTAATTTAATAATGGTTGTCTACATTTGCTTTTCCCCACTCTTTCTTCATATCTTCTTCCTTACTTGCTGTGTATTATGGACTGTAAACTTGGCAGAAAGGGTTCCTTTTGCTGATGTAGACGCACTGAATAAATTTTTAGGCATTTCTAAGTAATAAACAAAGACTGTTACAACATGGACAAGATGATGGGCTTCCAGTTCACTAGATAGAAAGTTTAGGGTGCAGGCAATGTGACATCCAAGTCATTGGTTCATAGTCTCTGGTCCCCAAATAAAAGATCTAATGGCCAGAATCCTATTAGTTTTTCATACTGGTGTAGGTGCAGTAGTGAATTGCTACTTATTTGTGAATTGCCAGTTGTAGTCCTTATTGGGCAGGAAGCCACGAGACCCTATGTGCAATGGGAAGTGTAAGCAGCAGTTCATAAACCTGCAGAGATTCAGCACTGCGATTTGCACCATTGCACTTAATCAGTAGGATTCTACCTATTGATTAAGTGCAATGGCGCAAATCGCAGAAGAAAGACGGAGGGTTGAGGACGGACCCTTCAGCTTAACAGGTGGCTCTTCTTCCTATATTTAATCCCAGAATCTATCAGCCAAATACTATTTCCACCCCCCCCATTATTCTCCCCATGTGACTTAGAGTGACTCTATAAGCTCCAAAATGGTCTACCATTAACAGCACTACTCAGCAGTTACAAAATCAAGACAGTGGCTTCTTTTATTGAGTCAAACTATCTCACATTTGGTCTTTGATATTCTCCATAGCTGCCTGTAATTTCTCCCCTTAGTAGAAAAGGAATGATATGATTTCACGTATTTTTGCATGAAGTAAAATAAAGACTCTGCAGCCAAAGACGGAGAAGCTCTATACAGTCGGCAAAAACAAGACTTGGCTCTGATCATCAGCTTCTTATAGCAAAATTCAAGCTTAAACTCAAGAAAGTAGGAAAAACCACTGGGCTAGTCAGGTACAATCTAAACCAAATCGCTTTTGAATACACAGTGGAAGTGAAGAACAGATTTAAGGAACTAGATGTGGGCAACAGAGTGCCTGAAGAACTATGAATGGAGGCTCGTAACATTGTACAGGAAGCAGCAATAAAAACAATCCCCCCAAAAAGGAAATGCAAGAAAGCGAAGTGGCTGTCCAACGAGGCCTTACAAATAGCAGAGAAGAGAAGGGAAACAAAATGCAAGGGAGATAGGGAAAGTTACAGAAAATTTAGTGCAGATTTCCAAAGAACAGCAAGGAGAGACAAGAGAGCCTTCTTAAATGAACAATGCAAAGAAATAGAGGAAAATAATAGAAAGGAAAAAAACCAGAAGTCTGTTCAAGAGAACTGGAGATACTAAAGGAACCTTTTGTGCAAAGATGGACATGATAAAGGACAAAAATGGTAAGGACCTAACAGAAGCAGACATCAAGAAGAGGTGGCAATAATACACAGAGGAATTATACCAGAAAGATCTGGATGTCCCAAACAACCCAGATAGTGTGGTTGCTGACCTTGAGCCAGACATCCTGGAGAGCAAAGTCAAGTGGGCCTTAGAAAGCATGGCTAACAACAAGGCCAGTGGAGGTTATGGGATTCCAGCTGAACTACTGCAGATGGTGACAGCAGCCACGAAATTAAAAGACTCCTGCTTCTTGGGAGGAAAGTGATGAGAAACAGACAGCATCTTAAAAAGCAGAGACATTACCTAGCCGACAAAGGTCCACATAGTCAAAGCTATGGTTTTTCCAGTAGCGATGTATGGAAGTGAGAGCTGGACCATAAAGAAGGCTGACCACCGAAGAATTGATGCTTTGGAATTGTGGAGCTGGAGAAGGCTCTTGAGAGTCCCCTGGATTGCCAAGAAAAGAAACCTATCCATTTTGAAAGAAATCAACCCTGAGTGCTCAATGGAAGAACAGATCCTGGAGCTGAGGCTCCAATACTTTGGCCGTCTCATGAGAAGACTCCCTGGAAAAGACCCTGATGTCGGGAAAGTGTGAAGGCAAAAGGAGAAGGGGACGACAGAGGATGAAATGGCTGGTCAGTGTCATCGAACCTACCAACATGAATTTGGTGTGCTCTGGTCAAGAAGAGCCGGACATGACTAAACGACAACAATAAAAGAAAGACATAGGGAAAAAACATGAGACAGCCATGGAGCACATGGCTATAAATAGCAGATTCTATTTGCCCTGGAATTGTGTTGCACCTTTGCTGCCTCATGGCTGGCCTTCAAGGTCATCAATGAGGAACTTGTTTTTCATCTTTATTGCCTTGTACAGCCTGTCCTTGCAATCACGGTTCCAGCTTGGCACCAACTTGTAGAGTTCCCGCATCTTTTCCTGGCTGGTTGTCTTTGCAGAGATGGCTTGGTATTGCTCGTCATCCAGGATGGTTCCATACAGCATATCCAAAATCCCCTCTACTGTGGCGGTTCTCTGAATCAGTGCCTCTCGGTGTCGGTCAATGAAATGCTGCTCCCGTGGGACTGTTGCCTGCATCCCTGTTAAAGAAAGAAATGGAATAAAAGGACATGTCTCCACCAGGAATATTCTCATCTGATCAGTCGTAGAAGACTTTACCAATTAATTGCATTTCTATGATAGAACACTGTGGCTGAAATCCTGTTGCTTAATTTATACTTGCTGAGGGATGATGACAATACCAGCAGTGGTGATTTTCAATAATTAAAAACTTCCTACTTTTCTCAGACAGTTTTTCCAAATCCCATGCAATCCCTTTTATCACGTGGAAGCCATGGGGACCATAAGGGAAAGTTTTAATTACCAAAAGCTGCTGCTGCTGGATTATGGTAATAGTGAAGGAGATTTTTGGAAATTTAAAAACTTCCTCCTTCTGTCCCGTGGCTCTCTTGGCTTCAATGCAATGGAATTTTGCACAAGAGTTGGAAAAGCTGTGGGCCATTAATTGCCAAAAAAAATCTCCTGTTAGTGACATCCTCACCCTTTTACAGTCATAATGTGAAGTTACATAGCAGGATTTCAGTGTATTGGTTTTCTTTCTTGTGAAGGTTAATACTATTTTAGATGATGGATCAGGTGAAGCAAGTCAACGGAAGTCAATCTGCATGCATGCTAGTACATCTAAGAGCTAGGTGAGAGGATGCTGGAGGACACCCATGGCTATAGGAAACAGCTACGCAGACAAAATTTCAGATATTGCCCGGAAAGGATAATATTTTGGAAGGACTTACTATTTCCTACTGCAGAGGCACTCATGAATGGCAGTGGGGCCTTGCTACAAGCATCTGGAATAAAAAGAATAAATATGACTGTGTGTGAAACAAGCATTTCCCAGAGAAGAAATACAACATTCATCCTACTGATTCAATTCCTGATTAGAGAAAATGAGTGGATGTGGAGTCTTTCAGAGTCCACTGGTGCAATTAACTTCTAATTCATAATTGGTTGTAAACTCTTATATCAGTTCCTATCAGGTTACAGTTAAATTTAAATGCTGATGTAAGCACATTCTAAAATCCCCCACAAACTGAGAAGTAAAGCAACTAGCAGTTTATTCGCTTGCTGTTCATTGCTTTCCCATTTTTGAGTTTTATTGCCCTAAACCAGCCATTCTCCCCTTGGGAAGGCCCGGACGCATTTGAAGGGGGCCACAGATTGGAAACAAGTCTTCACACAACACTTTATAAAGTTTGTTATGCGACTTATACAATCCCGATTCTGCCTATGTTTCTTTCATATGGTGTTTATGATTGTGGCTTTAAAAAGGATTAGAATAGCTGCCCTACATGATGTTTTGGTTTTTAAAATCATTTAAACCTATTCTCCAGGAATGCTACGTATCAAAATTGCACTGAAAATCTAGTGTTAGCAGACAGAACAGGGAAGAGATCTTTCATTGGGCTTTTGGTAGTGTGAAGCCACACATGTTCCCCGATTTGTCAACACTCTTCATAAGGAAGCATGGTAAGAGTTGCATTATCCTACGGTTGGAAAGCAGCAAGTGCTGTTCCATATATAGCCAAAATGGAAATACTTGCCGTCTGCTAACTTAAGTCCTATTTCATCGCTCAAACCCTACGTCAGTGCACGTTCTTACATCCAGTAAGTTAATCTACTTGCAAGTGTGAACTGCAACAAAATGTTGTAGCGTGGACTGCTTTACACCCAAAGTCAAATTATCGGACAAAGATAGTTTCAGTACTTTTAGGACACTGAAATTCCATGGTAGGGGATTTTGGTGGGCTTCACTCTAAAGGGGAGAGGGCTACGGTTTATGTGGTTCTTCTAGCATAAGAAGTCAGCCCTGGCGGTCCTCAGCAATTGCCCAAGGGCATCAGATGCTTAGGAGATCTTCCACCCACACAAGTGGGTTGCTGTTTGAAAAAAACAAGGCGCGTTGAAGCGGGGGTGTGTGTGATGGTGGTGGTGGTATTATTCTTTGAGTAGAGACTAGGGGGAATAACAGAACTGAGCTTGCACAAGGAAGTTGACTGTAATGAAAGTTTCCCGCGAAGCAGGGTTTTAAACTGTACACGTTGCCTCCACAGTTCATCCGTACAAGCGGATGTGAGCAAAGGAGAAAGTGAAAGTAAACTGATGCTTAATGGAGGCAAAGGAGGGAGGGGGAGACGGACTTTGGTCTTGAGGTTGGAAGTAAGTCGTTAAAGGGGGAGAAGGGCTGAATCCGGTTTTTGATGCCTGATTTCGGGATCCTACCCCCCCAGTCTTCCCAAACGGAGGCAAAG